TGACATATATAGCCCTATCGTATAATTATTTGTTTAATGTTTATAAAATGAATGTTTATAAAAATGATGTTTATTAAGTTATGAATATTATTATAAATCTAGATTTTATGAAAAACAACATTTTTGTAAATTATAACTATAATTGTTATATTATAACTATAATTTCATTATGTGTGTATGTTCTTAATTTATAAATTATATTCTTAATTTTAATTACTGAAACAATTTAATGAAATAATCATTGACTTCTCTGTAAAGAGAAAATTACCGACAATTTATACAATAAATTTTTTCAAATATTTAATTTTTATATACTTTTTTCTTTATTTTCTTACATGCTTAAATTTTTTTATATACTTTTGTTATTTTTTTTGCTTTATATAAAACGATTTAATGTACTATAATTTCTGAAAAAGTTTCCGAAATGTATTATATTAATTATCGGTGAAATAGATAAATTAAAAAATGTTAAAATTTGTTTTAGAAATGTTTATGTAATACATGAAAAATTCATCATAATGTACAAATAAATTCATCATAAGAAAGTGTGTCATTTTATTATATGAAGATAGAATATTGTAGGAATTTTTTATTTTTGCGTCAGTCACGTGGCATTTTGCATTATATATGTAACATTATACTTTAAAAATGTTACAAATACTTTGCGTATTTAAAAAAAAATATCAAAATATTTATAGTTTTTATAATTATTAATAATTCCCAACGTATCCTTTATTATAGCGGACATTATTCTGCAAGACTTAGAGTGTTTAGTCATAGAACGTTTACCATGCACACCGTCCTTTTATTATAGATATGTTGACGACATCCTTATTGCAGTTTCTCACGACCTTCTAAATGAAACTTTTTCCATCTTTAATTCCATACATCCGAGATTGCAATTCACACTGAAAGTTAGTAATAAAAATCGGATAAATTTTCTCAATGTTTTAATTATTAATGACAACTTGAAGATTATTTTTGACATTTTTCACAAACCTACATACTCGGGGAAATATTTAAATTTCCATTCACACCACCCTCTAACACACAAAAAAGGCGTTATTTTTGGTATGGTTGATATGGTTCTAATGTTATCCCATCGACAATTTCAAAAGAAGAATTTAGAAAACGTAATAACAATTTTGTTTCTGATGATATCTCTTCAGAATTATCTTTATCAGAAATATCAGAAGTTGTTGGATGAAAAGTAATATAAATATTTACCTTTACTTGATTACATGGACAATCTAAGAACAGAGCTGTCATACATAAATTAAAAGTTGTTTCTATCATATTATATGGTGCGCGATTCTTCACTATTGGAAATTGCCGATATATCAAACTCACAACTTTTTTAGTTAATATATATTTCTTGATAATGATAGTACATCTAGGTTTCACCTAGAAAAAATTGCTGTTTTTCCAAAACGCTTAATTTATAACGAGTAGCCAAATGTGATTTCTTCTACGGATTCGATAATAAAAAACATTCTTGAAATTATCGTCGTTTAATTGGTTCTATTTTTGGATAAAGAATATTGCTTATTTAATGTTGTAAAAACGTATTTCATAAACGGGGCGCAACTTACACTGTTTTAAGTAGCTCGAGGCAGTCTTAAACAATCCGTAGCAGTCCTGCGACATCTAAAGCAATTCAAGAAATTGACAAATTTGAGATCATCTAAAACAGTGCTCGGAATTAGTCTGAACATTTCAGCCGATTTCCGTGGTATACGCCTCCTTTCCTCTCCTTACCGCGCGCGCCGCAGCCGCTAGGGCCAGCGCCGCCGAGCGTTAGGAGCGACACTATCTGATTATGAGTGGGTTCTTTTCCCTATTTATTAAAATTTTAAAAAATGTATTAAAATTTATTAAAAATAAATTTTTTATTTTTAAATTTATTAAGTAGAAATATTTCAATAGATTTCCACGTCACCCATGAGATACTAATGCTGACGCGTTTTTTTTTAAATGGTTTCCCCCGTAGACCTATTCCACTAAAGATAAAAATAAATTCTTAATTTAAAAAAAATATATGTAAAAGAGATTTTCTTAATTAGATTTTCTTAGCCTTTTATGAGAATGAACAATTGATGCAATAATGTAGATAAAAACCACTTTTTGAAAAACGTGTCAGTATTAGTACCTCATGGGTGACGTAGAAATCTATTGAAATATTTCCACTTAATAAATTTAAAAATAAAAATTTATTTTTAATAAATTTTAATACATTTTTTTAAATTTTTAATAAATAGGGAGAAGAACCCACTCATAATCAGATAGTGTCGCTCCTAACGTTCGGCGGCGCTGGCCCTAGCGGCTGCGGCGCGCGCGGTAAGAAGAGGAAAGGAGGCGTATACCACGGAAATCGGCTGAAATGTTCAGACTAATTCCGAGCACTGTTCTAAAGCACACAAAAATTCGGCTCGAAAAAATTGTGTCCCGAAACTGACGTATCTATTAAAAATTATAGAACGTGTTATAAAGAGAAAAAGTTTTGCAATAAATTGTTAAATAATATAAAAAATTGTTTAATATTGCTAATAATATAGTAATGTCATTTTCTTTTGGTGTAGCATTATAAAAAGCATTTATAAAAAACTAGATAGATATAATTCAATTCCTTGTTTTTAAAGTGCAATTTATTTATGTCAATTTACATGTACATCTTAATAAAATCCTTCAAATCATACCGTGAAGAAAGCAATAAAATTGACTGAAATACATTTATATGAAAAATAAGTTTAATTTACCCAAATATAAGATTAGATAAAGAAAAATTTTCCAAATCCGAAAAGATATATCCTATATATCTTTTATGTACAATTATATTAATATTACTAATTACTACATATACAAATATATAATAATATAATTATACAAATATATAAATTAATATTTTAATGTACTAAATAATAATTTTGTGTTAAGCAAACAAAAAATTTTTGCTAAAAATTCGCATAGTGTATATTCTTATAGAAATTTTTTATTTTACAGATATAATCAAACAAATAATTTATGGAACATTATGCAAATTGTTTTACATACGTATCCAGATAATTCAAGCGAATCTTTTATAAAAGGACTTATATCTGATAAGATAACGAAAAAATATTATCCTGTATTATACGTGACACGCAGTTATTTGAAAAACTTGACAATACTCGAATATCTCATTTTTGATTATAATGGCGAGGATACAGAACATCTCTCAGCATTCGTGACATATACGACAAAATCAATCATGAACTTTCAAAACATTTATCCTAATAATTCGTTAAAAATAGCACCACAAGGATTAAAAATATTATCGAGAATGTTGGATAAAGATGATTGGATTATAGTCAATTTACAAAAAATAGGTAAATGTAAAATATTAAACTTATTATGTTTTATCTTGATATTTTTTTGCTTTTTTAATCTTATGCTTCCTAATGCTCGTGACACGTGCACTCGCACAGTTGTTCGTGTCACTCGTAAGCACAAATTCTCAGACTATTCGTACACTCTCACGCTATTCGCTCTTACAGGTTTTTATAACAAATCGTTCAAAATATTTTATAAAAAAATTAATAGGAATTGTTTCACAAAGAGCGATATTAGAAATTATTTTATGATAAGCTTTATCAAGAAACTTTAATAATAAAAATTTTTTTTTTATAATAGGATATTATCGTGTTAATTATGATACTGAAAATTGGCGTATACTTGTGCAATACATGAATTCTACGAAATATATCAACATACATGTTCTTAATCGGGCTCAAATTATAGATGATGCTTTTCACTTCTTCATACATAAACAACTTGATTATGTTACGTTTTGAAACATTTCTGCATTTTTGTCACGAGAAACGAATTATGTGGTATGGTATCCTATGTTTAAAGCTTTTGAACAAATGACTGTTATGATTTCAATTAAAGATGCTGAAAACGTAAAGGTAGGTAATAGCAAATTTCTATAAAGATTGCATCAAAATATTATTTGTACAGGGTAATTCAATACAATCTGATGTCCTTGTAATGTCATATTCTTGAGCGATTTCTAAAATGAATTTTCTTTTAGCAAAATTTTGTTCAAAGATTAGTTTTTGAGACATAATTGAAAATAGTTCGTTGCTTGTACACACGTGAGTCCGGTACATCGAGCAAGCACGGACTGTGCAACACATCATAAGAGGAACGTGAAACACTTCGCAGTCACAGTGCGTGTAAGACTAGGACAAAATTTTGCAAAAAAAAAATTGTTTTAAAAATTGCTCAAGGATATGATATTTCAAGAACATCAGGTTGTTTTGAATCGCTTTGTATATAAAGAAAGTTAAAATAAATTTATACGTGTATAAATACACATACATATCTTTTATAAATAACAATAGGTTAAAATTTATATTACATACCAATTTTTAGGAAAAGATGGAGAAAATATTGAGTGGAGTTCTGGATCGAATAAAATACGAATCAGAACCATACGAAAGCGATCTCACCGAATGTTTAAGAGAGGAGGCCGTAAAATGGGCATGTATTATTGCAAACAAAGAATGCAGAGAAGTAGCCAATATGAAAATGACAAGAGATCTATATTCTGAAAGTGACATGTAAGATGTTGGACAACCACAATATTTATATAAACAATTTCTGTTGCATTATGTATACTTATATTCTGTACATCAAATACTGTACTAGATGAATTATTTTATCATAAAATAAGCTAAATTTTTGTAAGAAATACTTTTTTCTACTAACGCAGTTCTGTAACGCAATCGGAATGGAAAGGATGGATGTATTGTAATGGTTTGGTGTCAGCGAACAGCACCATTTGGCACGCTGTATGGAAGAAATGGACAGCAACACCTAATGATATAAAATTTTTAGAATATTTAACTTGCAGTGAAAATCCTGTAGTTATTTTTAATTATTTGATGCTGAATTCGATTAATGAATTTTTATTACAACACAACAATACACGTGCTTATATATTTCTTCTTACCGTTTCGAGGCATGCAAGAAAGGATATAGTTTGCGATTTTATTTTGCAAAATCTCGATGATAATACACTTATGTTCATCTCCAACACGTAATAATAATTTTTTTATAAATATATTTGTATATTTATATAAATAATTGTTATATTTATAATTGTTATCCACCCGCGTCTTTTTATTCTTATTGCCTTTTATTATAAATAATAGTATTTATCGCTTTATTTTTTTGCAGGCAAGCTGAAATAATTGCAATGTTTATAGTTATTATTACGCACCAGCATGCTGTAGAGCAATTAAATAAGGTATATTTTTCTAACTGATTTAACACTCATTTCTTAGCTACTTAAATATTGAGCTTATTTTTATTTGATTTCTTATGTACATACATGTCATACATGTCATACATGTTCAACCGATTACCCAACAATTTATGCTCTCATAAACTGTAGTGCAAAAAAATTTTAGGTTTATTGATATTATCGAAATAATTTGTTTCAGGTACTTATATTCGTAAAAACTAATTTGAAAGAAGAGCGACTAGTTTATGCTGTTAAAAAAAAAATTAAAAAACGAATAGACGAGTATGGAAGACAAGTTACAAATTATGGGCTCGTCGGTCGATCTCGGTTAAAGTAATATTTATTTAATTTAATTATTCCTTCTTAGATTGCAAATTTTTGTTAAAGTAAATATGTGTCTTTTTTACAATAAAAAAAAGTACTGAAAATTGTTTGAAAACTTTAAATGCTTTACAGTCTACATTGAAAAAAATATCAGCTTGGATGTAGTAAATGTGGTTGGGAAATTGCAATATAACTTGCTAGAAAATAACTTGTGAAGAATAAAATAATATATTTACTTATTTATGTGGAAAATTTAAAAACATAGCTGTTATACATGAATTAAGAGTTGTTTCTGTCATATTACATGATGCGTAATTTTTTGCGCGACTATTGGCAATCGCCAATATTTCGAACTCACAATTTCTTTAGTTAATATATATTTCTTGCTAATGAAAGTACATTTAGGTTTCGCCTAGAAAAAATCGCTGCTCTTCCGAAATGCTTAATTTATAACTAGTAGTCAAATAAGATTTCTTCTACCGATTCGATGATAGACATCTTTAACCCTTTTATTCCCACCGTGACTGTCCAGACAACATGTTTTAAAGATTTTTGAAAGACGTTATCATTTTCCAGACGTCTCTTAAATGTTCTTCAGACATGTGTGTTGTCTGGATACATATTAAACTTATGAAATAAAATATTCTTATCTATATATTTTTATATTTGTAAACATGCACTAGTTTTTTTTAACTCGTATATGGTATTATAAATTTAATTAATTTGGCAATTATTCATAATAACCGGTAAATATGATACAATACATTGAACAAAAATCATAGAAATTTATTAAATTTACCAAAACCATTGGTAAATATGTATAATTACCGGCAATTATGCATAATATCCAATTATTCACACTTCCAGTAATACACGCTCACGCACGCGCGCGCCACACGCACACACACATCCATGCATATCATGATTTTATTCATGTAAAGTATAATATAAACCGACCGATACAATTTTACATGCAAAATTAATACAATTAATACAATTTTACACGCAAAATTAATATTTTTTATAAATTTATAAATATTATTTAACAATTTTGTTTATCAGTAACTAAAAAATGTACAATTTTGATTTTTATACACATATTTAACTGATTATGTATTTAAATTTCTGTGCTCTTTTAGCCACTAGTAAATTGTTTTCCTGTTGCGTGACCTCTTAGCATCTGTTTGCGAGACATAACATATATATATATTATATCAGTTACGAATATGTTTCTCAGTATTCGGAGACTTCTCAGTACAAATAGGATCGCAGTTTGTATATATATATATATATATATATATATCGTACACCAGCAAGAAAAGTGACATAAGTCAAAATTTTTTGAATTTTATTTGATGTGCAGATTGTGATCTAAATATGTCAGCCTTCAATCGGGAAAAATGATAGATGTTAAATTCAAACACTTTTCGCCTGATTCCGCTATGTTTACCTAATAAGTACTACTGTAAATCATTAATTTTAAAATTATTGTTTAACCTAGTACAGACATCTGAAATTATTTTCCGTAAAATAAAGCAGGCTTCAAATGATTAATAATTTGCGACAGAAAGCAATTTATAACGTTATTAATAAGAAACGTTATTAAAAAATGTAAAGAGGATGATAAAAATGTAATTTGTATTCACAAAGATACGAATGTGAAAATGTAAACTTATTTACATTTATTTATGTTATTCGAATCTGTTTTACCAGCATGTTATAACAGCATTGCCATAATTTTTCTATCGTGTTATACAAATCCACGTTATTGCATAGAGATCTACTGTACACGCAAGCATGCTCCACACAAACACACAAAATTAATTTTTACTTCGCAGAAATAATAATTAATTTGTAAACATGAAGAGATTCATGCAACGCAAAAAAAATTTAAAAAGGAAAAGAAATTTGTGATACAATTACTTATTCAGAAAGAGATTTAAGAAAATAAAGTTGTATTTAACATGCTTTATAAATTTTTATATATTTTGAATTAGATATTTCTGAATTAATACTTCGTTTCTTGTCACTTACCTACGCATATTAAAATTGTCAATTAGAATGTTACGTAGAAATGAACAATTTTATAAGAATAATACAATTAACATCACTTTATAAACAAATCCGAAAGCCAAAGGTATATAAACCAAACAGTATGTTTATATATATATATATATATATATCGTACACCAGCAAGAATATATATATATATACGGAACGTATTATATGGGGGATTACTATAATTAAGGATAGATACCATAACTAATTAGAAATATAATATTATAATATTTTCATGTTTTTCGGATTACTAACATTTTCAGTTATAATTTCTATTTTTAATTTATTATTCAAACAGACATTTTCAAATATTTAATATCATAATACTCTGTAAAATTTTTCATATATATACAATACAATACAATACAATACAATACTATTATTTTTCTAAACACTGTTAGTAATATTTGATCAATTTTACTTTTGTCATGATTTTTCACTTTATCACACTGAAAGAAAGGAACAATAGCAGTAACTAAGTGGACTTCCGAAAAGCTATTACCTCTGATTTGGCTCATATTCAGCCTAAATATTTATTTTATCTAGTAAATAATATTCCTAGATGGATTTTTTACACGCAAATGCCCCCTCCGACCCTAGTTACTCTCAAAGGTGAAACTGTTTTTGTTAATTATTTCAGAAAGTATTTATAGTACGAAAAAGTTGTCAAACAAAAAATGAAGCTCATAAAAAGCTCTACAAATAAGGTCCTATACGTATTTTATCTAACTTCAATATCTTATTTTTAAGAAACGTCTTTCTTGGCATCGGTTGTAATTACATTTATTTAAAGAAAGTTTCAAAATTATAAATAATTTAGATTTTCATAATAATACATATTGCGACAAGTTAATAGTAAGTTTCAATTTTTCAACAATATAACACACCCAAATATATTTAATCATTTTCTACACGAAATGTTTTCATGTTTCTCGCTCGTTGAAAAAGTTTATCTGACCAGCTACGTAATCCAGCGTGAGAGCAGAACATGATAAATTGCAGTATGTTTATATATAAAGCGCGGTTTTCTGCTTGTGTAAATATTTGATGCGCACGTGATTAATTGCGGTTGCCTAATTACCACTGTACAGCTCAAAATTGCATTTGCATGGATACAATATGCCCTAGAACCGTCGCTGTTTCTCTTAAGCGCAAGTTTTTGTATTCATTTTGGTTCATTTTGCCGTGCTAAAAATGTGATTAACTGTCGTATTTTTGTAGTTCTTTAAAGTATACACTCGAGTTTTAATTCGAGTTTTAATATTCACTTGAAAAAAAGGGGGAACAGAGTAAAGTGTTTCATTCTTCACATGAAATCGCATTTTTCAAATCTTATTGTTAGTAAAATACTCCAATTTATGAATGTCAATCATATCTTCTTTCTTATTAAAAAATGTAAAAAAATAGATTTTATTATGAACAAATTATAAATTTTGAAAACATCCTTTTTTGTTAATTAATCTTAAATTTATTAACTTTAGAAATATTTTTCTATTTATACTTATTTAACTTTTAAAGTTTTTTTCACAACTTTAGAATGCTTTATAAAATTTGATTAAAGTTCTGAAAATGTACAAAAATAAAAATTTCATTGATTAAGTAAATCTAAGTAAAAAAAGCAAAAAAAATCAACGATTCCAGGACGTGAATTTTATTCCGAACATGTAATTTGGCAACTATTATTATAAATATACTTCAAAATATTGGAAAAACTAGATTATTACAAGCCACTGTGTTCGAGTTCGTTTAACATGATAAAAAGATAAAGAAATCTAATAAAAAAGTGTTTAAAAAAATATTCAAAAGAGACTATAGAAAATATACGGTGTAACGACACATCTCTAGTGGAACATTCTGTGTACAGAAGATAATGGTATATTAGATATACGTATAAAGGAGACATTATCGCGCGCGTACGCACTCTCTTTGGAGATGCAACGAAGGCGACACAGGGGGTTAGAAGATACTCTAATGCAACTTGTTATTGCATTCAACGTGCAACAATGCTTGCTCACGCTCGAACGAACACAAATACGCTCTACGTCGCTTCTTTAAGACCGGATGAATCGATTGTTTGGTTTCTCGCGTCGCCGGCTCCGTGTCCCTGGCAAATTGTGCGCAACCCATTATCAATTAAATGGTGTGCCAATTTAAAGAGAATTGCATAACTTACTTTTGAAGACGATTAAAGCGAATCATACAAGCAGTATTGTTAAAAATATAATAATTTACGATGAAATATTTATTGCATAAAAGAAATTATCTTTATTTTACGCATGTATGGCGATTGGAACGATATTATTTTCGCTTCGCATTATTTTTCGGATATTTTGCAAGCATCTTCCATCGCGGCATTAATCAATTCTATGAATTAGGAGGCCACGCTTTACTATTGTTTTATTTACGAACAAAACGCATTGGCTCACTATTTTATTCACCGTTAAATTATAAAATTAATTGCGCTTCGACGTCAAAAGCAATGCACAATTGGATATCGCGTGTTTGATTTAATCGCTGTAATATAACCGCAATCGATGTATGGTGCGATACTCCGATACATCGAATGAATCGCGAATTCCTCGGTA